CATCCTTTGTACTCTTTCCCTGAGTGAAAAGCAAGGCAAATCCCTATGTAAGAAGGCTTCTGCAAACCTGTCGCAGTCTAACTGAGGTGGCAGAGCCAAATCCTCCCTGTAGCGTTGTGTGTCTAAGTTGAATACGTACCTGAATCACTTGGAAGTATGGTTAGCAGGTGGGTTCTAATTCCATGTGTAGGTCTTGGTGGGGTACAAGCTCTCTGGTGATGTTGATGCTGCTGTTTCAGCAGCACACTTTTAGAGCCATGCTCTAAAGTTCTGCAGAGACTCCTTTTCTGCTCATTCCCCCCACCTTCTCTGTGAAGGGGTAATTGATTTGGTATAAAACTTTCTGTGTAGATAATTTGAGCCAGGAGCTAAGAAAAAGGTCACTCACAGTAGGCTGGGTCTTGCATATGGGTTTTTGTTCTAATTAGCACAGGCCCAGTGAACATTGGGTATTGATCTGCTTGTTCTTTTTTCAGTCTTGTGATGCTTAGAGGTTTGGGCAGAAAATGTTGATTGTTTCAGATTGAGGGCCACTGAGGAGCCTAAGCCATTGAGCAGCTAGGAACAAAAACATCCTGGAGGGCTTCCCTGGTGGTGCAGTGGTCGAGAGTCCTCCTGCCAATGCAGGGGACACGGGTTCGTGCCCCAGTCTGGGAAGATCCCACATGCCGCGGAGCGGCTGGGCCCGTGAGCCATGGCCGCTGAGCCTGCGCGTCCAGAGCATGTGCTCCGCAACAGGAGAGGCCACAACAGTGAGAGGCCTGTGTACTGCAAAAAACAAACAAACAAACAACCAAACAAACAAAAACATCCTGGAGATCACTGTTGACACTAATGTGTGCTCACTGTGGGCATCTGCTGTTAGGTGATGAGCTGTGTCCTATTGTCCGTACTTTATAGATGGGGATGCTTAGGTACAAACTGCCCTTAAGTCTCATAACTGATGAGTGAAGTGGAGCAGGGATTTGAATCTATCCTTTGGCTGCAGAAGTTGTGTCCTTAACCAGTATGCTGTGGCTGGTAGAACTCTGAGCCTCACCCTTCCTCCCCCTCCAATAAAAAGGAAAAATAAAGCCCCCAAGAAGTCTTTCAACTTAGGGGAGCTGTTTCTTAGAACCATACCTTTTGCCTCAGGCCTGCCCTGGTTTTTGTAGCTGCTCTGTTTGAGCATCTGCTGTGCAGGGAAGTGTTAGTTATGGCTCCATCTCATGAGAAGCACTGGGTTCCTGTGAAGTTTTTGAAGAAATCCTCTGTCAGACACTAGACATACACAGTAACTGCTGTTTATTATTTTTCACATGCAAGGCACTGTACAGAGGTTGAAAATATGTCTTTTTATGGGGCTTACTCTAATGGGAGAGTCTTGTGTGAAAATAGACATGACAATATGGTTTGCTCTCCCACAGGGACAGTAGGTGAAAGTGCCACTGGAGGCCAGAGGAAGGCCACCTGTGGGCGTGCTAGGACAGATGGGTTTCAAGGTGTCCAGAGTTAAGGGACCAATGTGTGCTAGGGCATGGGGTGTAAGTAGTGTTGGGATCCAGGGGTATGTGAAAAGGAAGGTAGGAGAGGTTGGATGGATCATTCAGGATCAGGCTGGAAGAGGGGCTTAGGTGTCCTAGTGTTAGAAGGGAGTCCATTTCCATCATCAGTTTTGGTCACTCAGGCCCTTGAAGGTGGTTGACTAGAAGCAGGGAGATCAGGAAGCCTGTTGTGGATAAGACATGAAGGCATAAGCCAGGTGGGGGTAGTGAAGTTGAAAAGGAAGGTGTTTGGATATAAGCTGGAAGACTGACTAAATCTGGGCTTTATGGAACAGGCCAGGATTTCTTGTTTTCTGGTTAGGCTGCTGCTGTTGCCATATGTCGAGATTACAGGGGTAGTAAAAGGAAGACAACTTCGGTTTGAGAAATGGTAAGGTCCTTGCAGAACATAAGTGAACAAACACATCTCAGGGATTGAATAAGGCTTGGTTTATAATATTTAAGAAGACTTGGTAGAAAAGGGTTGAGGGTGAAATGGGGAGCATCAGCATTTATTTTATGGGATGGCTGACTAAAGAAGATAAGCCCAGGGGATCCTCGGTATTGGGGCCGGTTCCCGATTTGGGGGAAGCTCAGCTTTCCTCTTGGAGTCCTAAATGGCATTAGGAGCAGTCCCATGTGACTGTGTAGCCTTGACAGTGGTCATTAGCTTAGCTTCTTGGTAGCTTCCTCCTACAGCAAATTACTTGTTTTCTCCTGTTGCTCTGGTGATCTGGTCATCAGAATAGGGAAATGTTACACAGACTGTGTGTGTGTGTGTGTGTGTGTGTGTGGAGGGCGGCGGGGAATAAAAACTACATTTGCTAATCCTTGTGTTTAGGGAGGGTATTCCAAGTGAAGCCTTCATGCAGCTTTGTTCATTCTGCACTGGTGTATCATTGTGAATGGTACACCTTGCACCCTCATACCTGCATCCCTGAGTCTGATGATCTGACTCCTAAGGATAGGATAACTGGCCTCCTTGGGGCCTGCCTGTTGCTTTGCAGCCACCCCTTCTAAGCCAGGAAGAATTTGGGTGCAAAATGTACTCAGGATGTGGTCCTAGGGTCCTGGAAACAGCCCTAACAGCCTCTGGAAAGGCCCCTTAAGTGCTGTTTTCTGGAAATAGATATCCGTATTTTCTTTTGTGGGCACAATTCCATCAAGAGAAGGAACAGCTACTAGAACTCATTTCCTAAAGTTTTGCTTTTGTGGTTGGCATGTTTTCTGGGCAAAGTGTGACCTATAACCCCTCTTGCAGTAGGTGGGAGGGAGCAGAGGGAGGAGTGATGCCTGCTGGTGTCCGTGCCAGAAGGAGCCCTAGGGACACTTGGTGGCTTGTGCCCTTCTGTCCTGTTTAGATGATAGTCTTGTCACTTCCCCTGAAAATTGCTCTCATTTTGCAATTTTTTTTTCGTATGAAAAAGTGAGAGATTGAGAAGCTTGGTAGACGAGTCTGTTTCTAAATGCATCTGTCAAATATGGCCCCCCACAGTTCCAGGCCCTTTGTACATACCTCTATGTTAATTTTTAGACCTTGGCCACAAGGCTAACTTGTATTCACAGGTCTCAAGGGCAGACCCTCTGGGGGTGGCATTGAAGGAGCCACAAAATGGTGAGGGACTATTCCATGGTGACTGAGGCAGGAAGGATGAAGTGTCTGGGGAGCCTGCTGCCCCAGGAACAGGCGGAAACTAGAGCTTCACCTGAGCCTCTGTGGGGCTTGGATGTGTAGCTCAGCTCCGCATGTGCTTCCAGGCTGGAAGTAGGAAAACACACCAAGTACAAGCTGGTTTTTCATATATCGTATATATAAAAAAAATCAGAGACTCCAGGTAAGATGGCTGGAACAGCCAGGGGTTGTCTGTGGGACCGCTGCTGGGGAAGATGCCTCAGCTCTGCTCCAGGTCGACCACCAGGTAGGGCTGGCTGTCCCTCAGGGCCTGGAGGAGCAGATCCTTGCAGGTCAGGTTCCAGGCTGGAGCAAAGCTGAAGAGCTTCCTCATCTTGGTAGGATCGGTGCGCTCCGCCCGCACTGCCTGGTACTGCTCCTCTGTCAGGACCTTCCCGTACAGGGCGTCCAGCACCCCATCCACGTCTGTGACCCGCGCAATGAGGGCCGCCCGATGCTGCTCCACAAAGTGCAGTGCTGGGGCGGGAGCGGGGAGAGGGGATGAGCTGGGACCAGGGTGGGTGCTGGAGCCTGTCCCTCTTGAACACTAGGCTTTCTTCAGAAATTGCCCTGAATGCAACCCTAAGCGGTGGGGCTCAAGGTGGGCATGCCACCGGGACTCTACATACAGTGGTATGAGTTTAACCTTGTCTGCCTTTCTCCGCCCAACCAGGCTCGGGCCCTGGAGGTATGTGAGTAGGTGGGTGGGGAGGGTTGGCCTAGCTTTGCACTCTCTGGGTGCTCTTGGCCTTGGGACAACAGATTTAGGCTGTGCAGGGGTGCAGTGGGGTGGGGCTGGTGAGGTGCCCAGGTAGGTGAGGTTGGGTGTTGAAGCTTTACTTGGCTGCTGTCTGGCGAGGGGCCTTCATCTCGGTTGGCACAGTTCCAGGGCCTGTAAGAAAATGTTAAGTGGTGTCTCCAAGTCTTTCTGGGGTCAGGGATCTCTTGGTCCAGAAGCGAAGGTCAGTACCAAGGCTCCCCAGCAGGAGAAGCTTTTATTAAAGGGTAGGAGGAACAGGAAGCGAAAGCGTGGGGAGAGGCAAATGTTCGGGTTGGGAGGAGGGTACAGATGAGGGCATACTGGTCTGGACCTCTGCGTGGAGGGTGGAGGAGGTGAGCTCCCCCTTGCCCAAGGTCTCCTGCAGCTGCTCCGCCACCTCCTGCACGCCCATGTCGCGAAGCACGAGCGCCGTGAGGTTGGCACCATACGCCTCCAGATAGTAGCTGACGAGCTTGTCGGTGAGGTCCACAGCATCCATGGGCAGCAGCGTCCCCCGTGGGATGCGTGCGTAGCCTTCGCGCAGCGGCACTGAAAGCAGCTTCATCTTGAACTTCTTGAACTCGTCAGCGGTCAGGTTCTCCAGCGCATCCAGTATGGCATCACGCGTGCACCCCCTGGCTCCCGGGGTCCCCCACCGTAGCTCACTCGGGCTGTCTGCCAAGCAGGAAGTCTGCTCTGCGGCGGGACCTGGAACTCTCCGCCTTCTCTCAACTCCGGCCTCTGCCCCAGAACATTGCCCTCAGGTGTAAGGCTCCCAACTATCCCGTTCCTTCCCATCCTCTCCTGGCCATCAGGAGGGGGTGCCCAGATCGCATCCTTTGGCTGGTCTACGAGGTGGGACCCAGGAGACCGGGTGGAAAAGGGCTCATGGGTGGCGCCTGCCTCTCCAGGCTTGGACTAGCTAGCACATATCAGGAACCTGGTGATTTCCAGCACTCCAATAAGGAGTGCTAAGGCTTAGAACTGTGGAATTTTAGAACCCTGAAATCTCCATGTTTCCCTAAACCTTAGCATCCTCTCTGACATGTCATAGAATCAGAGTCATAGAATCCTAACAGCCAGACCATGTAGCTTCCCAAATTCTGGGGAATACTGGGGAGAAATGAGGTGTCAAAAAGAGGGTAGAGATAACTGTGTGTGCTTTATCTCTCCAAACCTCAGTTTCGTTATCTATAAAATGGGGATAATAACACTCACTCTTCCACTTAGGAAATATTCCAACATAACATGGGCTACCTGATGGTACCTGAGACCTTGCCAAATGCTTCCTGCGAGAGCCAGAATTTGGTCCTCCAGGAATTGAATTTCTTGGGAAGTGATGACAAGAGACACTTGCAATGGTTGAGAAAATTCTTGACTGGAGGGAAAGTCATGGGTAGAGAGCAATTCTGGGGTCAGAGGGCTTGACCCAGAAGAGCAGATGAAAGGTGGCGTGGGATGGCGTTGGAGGCCAAGCTGTGCCGAGAATCATTAACTTGCCCCTAACATGGCTGGGAAGGCCCTGCTGGTCTGCCCCTGTAGACCTCACCAGCCTTGTCTTGCACCACACCCTGCCCCCCACTCCACCTCTGAGTTCCAACCACACTGGCCTCTCAGTTCCTCAAATCTGCCATTTGCTTCTCCAAGCCTTTGCACATGCTGTTCCCTCAGCCTGGAGCTCTCTTCCCTCACTCTTTGCCTGACAAACTCTCAAGACTTTAGGTCTTAAGTTAAATGCTGCTTCCTCTGGGAGGAAGTATATTAACGCGTATATGTGGAATCTAGAAAAATGGTACAGATGAACCGGTTTGCAAGGCAGAAATAGAGACACAGATGTAGAGAAGGAACGTATGGACACCAAGGGGGGAAAGCAGGGGAGGGGTGGTGGTGGGATGAACTGGGAGATTGGGATTGACATATATACACTAATAAGTATAAAATAGATAGCTAATAAGAACCTGGTGTATAAAAAAATAAAACAAAATTCCAAAAAATATATATAATGATAAAGGGATCAATTAACTAAGGGGATACAACATTTATAAATACTTATGTACCCTACCTCAGAGCACCTATGTAAAGCAAATATTTAAAGAACTGAAGGGAGAAGCAGACAGCAATACAATAATAGTAGATTCCCATCACCAGCCTCTAAGGCAGTGTGCATACCTGTAGCAATCTCCTGCAGCCATGGAATTGCACACTGTCAGCTGGGGCCCCCACAGCTGCCTGAGGGTTCAGCTCTGGCCTTATCTCCTGTCACTGGCCTGCACCACTAGGCTCCCCTGCAGCTGTCCCCATAAACTGTGCACCTGCACCCAGCCAGCTAGATCCCCATTAAGCCTCCATTGCTGTGCGTGTCTGATATGAGATCCTGCAGGCACAGAATGTACATACACCAACATCCAGGGCCTCTGAAGCTGCCTGTGTACCCTCACGTGGCCCTGGCCCTTGTTCCTGGCCCTGGCCCCTACCACCGTGTGTGTACCCGCAGCCAGCCTCTGCCATCACTTAGGCACCAGTTGGTGGTATGTACACACCACCACCAGCTCCATGCCACCGCTGCCTGCCCTTGTATGTAGCCTCTGGACCTGGAGGCACCACAAGGACCCCAATAGCGCTTGTAGCCATTGCAGATACCCCACTATGCTCACCGAGGACCACATAGTTGTCAATGCTGTGGACCCCTGTGGCCTGACCGAGAGAGACATCATGCCCCACCCCCCACCCTGGACCCAGAGCTGTCACATGCCCCTGCCCTTGGCAGCCTGCGCCACTAGATACAGAGTCACAACAGACTCCAGCATGCTCCCACCCACAGAAGGTCTTTCATTACCAGAGTCAGTCCATAAAGTCTGGAAGAGGTGACTATTTCTTCAGTTGTGCAGCCACCTACACAAGACTACCAGGGTCACAAAGAATTGGGGAAACATGACACCTCCAAAGGAACATAGCAAACTTCCAGTAACTGACCCCAAACAAATGGAGATAATTTAATTGCCTGGCAAAGAATTCAAAATAATTATTCAAAAGATGTTCAGAGAGCTCAAGAGAACACTTAAACAATTTAATGGAATCAGGAAGACAATACAAGAACAAAACGACAGGTTCAACAAGGAGACAAAAAACAATCCCATTCACAAAAGCATCAAAAATAATAAAATACTTAAGGAGTAAATTTAAAGAAGTGAAAGATCTATTCGCTGAAAACAAGACATTAATGAAAGAAATTGAATATACAAATAAATGGAAAGCTATCCCATGTTCATGGATCAGAAGAGTTACTGTTAAAATGTTCCTACTGCCCAAAGTCATCTATAGATTAAATGTAATCTCTAGGTTGCCATGGCTAAGGGGTGAGGGAGATAGAGGTTGGCAAAAAAGTACAAACTTTCAGTTATAAGATGAATAAGTTCTGAGGATCTAATGTAAAACATGGTGACTATAGTTGATAATACTGTATCGTATAATTGCAATTTGCTAAGAGAGTAAATTGTAAGTGTTCTTACCACAAAAGGAGAGGGGGCAACTTTGTGAAGTGATTGATATGCTAATGAACTTGAATGTGGGAATTCTTTCACAAGGTATACATATATCAAATCATCATGTTGGGGCTTCCCTGGTGGCGCAGTGGTTGAGAGTCTACCTGCCGATGCAGGCGACACGAGTTCGTGCCCCGGTCCGGGAGGATCCCACATGCCGCTGAGTGGCTGGGCCCGTGGGCCATGGCCACTGAGCCTTCATGTCTGGAGCCTGTGCTCCGCAACGGGAGAGGCCACAACAGTGAGAGGCCTGCGTACCGCAAAAAAAAAAAAAAATCATCATGTTGTACACTTTAAATACAGTACAATTTTATTTGTCAATTATACCTCAATAAAACTGGGGGAAGAGAAATTAAAGAAGACCTAAATAAATGAAGACTGCCCATGTTCATGAAAAATTCAATATTGTTAGCATTGCAGTACTCCCAAAATTGATCTACAGAGTCAGTCAATTCCCAGCTGCCTTTTTTGCAGAAATGCACACACTGATCCTAAAATTCATATCGAATTGCAAGGAACCCTGGATAGCCAAAAATTTCTTTAAAAAGAAGAACAAAGTTTGAGGTCTCACACTTCCTGATTTCAATACTTTCTACAAAAGTGAGAGTAATCAAAGCAGTTTGGTACTGGCATAAGCATAGATATATTTTAATCTAATGAAATAGAATTGAGAATCCAAAAATAAGCGTGTACATCTATGGTCAATTGATTTTCAACAATAAATAACAGTCTTTTGAACAAACAGTGCTTAAACAACTAAATAGGCGTGAGACTGGAAGACAAGAGTACAGCCATTTTTGAAAAGGACCCAGGGAACGACCTTGCGCAAGCAGGCTTCACAGATCCCTTAAAACAAAGTGACTAAAGCTTTCCAGTTCCTTGAAAGATACAGATAAAGGCCTGGCAGACATTCCCAAGTTGTTTTTGCCGGAGGCAGATCCCCACCAGATGAAAACTGCTGACCGCAAGTGTATAGACCCCCACACCAGTTGACGGTTGATGATTCTTGAAACTTCATCTTGATGCCAACCAATCTGAGAATCGAGCACAAGCTGATCGGGCACCTGCTGCCCCCTCCCTCACACTCGCTTTAAAACCTGTTCCCTGAAAGTCCTTGGGGAGTTGGCACTTTTTTCTGCCTTCTCTCCTGTGCACAAACTATCCTTTTAATAAAAAGCTTTGCTTATCTAAGAGCCTTGTGGGAGTGAAATTCATTTCTGTGGTATTGCTGTCCAAGAATCTGGAGAGGGCCTGGTAACAGGCACATGCAAAAGAATAAAGTTGGACTCTTACCTCACAATATATACAAAAATTAATTAAAAATGGATCAAACACCCAAAAGTAAGAGCTAAAACAATAAACTCTTAGAAGAAAACATAGGTAAATCTTCATAACCTGGATTCAGCAATGCATTCTTAGATATGACACCAAAAGAAAATATACATTAATTGGGCTTCATCAAAATCAAAACTTTTGAGCATCAAAGGACAAAAATGTGAAAAGACAAGTCATAGAATGGAAAACATTTTCAAATCATATGTCTGATAAGGATTTCATGTTATGAACGAACAAAGAACTCTTACAACTCAACAACAAAATGACAAACCAATAAAATAAAGGGCAAAAGGATCTATAGACATTTCTCCAAAGAAATTATACAAATGGCCAACAAGCACATGAAAAGATGCTCAACATAGCTGTTAGGGAAATTTAAACCAAAACCACAATGAGAAACCATTTACCCACTAAGAGGGCTATAATTTTAAAAACATTTTAATTTTTTAAACAGTAAGTGTTGGCAAGAATGTAGAAAACTGGAACCCTCACACGGCTAGTGGGAATGTAACTGGTATATAGCAGCTGTGGAAAAGTTTGGCCATTCCTCAAAAAGTTAATCATATAATTACCATATTGTAATAACGGCCTCCCCAGCCCGAACCCAAACTGTGACGGGCCCTTTCCTCCTCCCTCTCTGGCGCCGGCGGCTGCGCGGTTGGGGCAGGGGCTGCTCTGCTGCTCCTCTCCGCGCTCCGGCTGGGCCTAGCCCACCGGCCTGGCCCCGCACCTGCCGGCCACCCACTGCGCAAGCGGGCAGGCGGGCGGGAGCTCCGCCCTGGGGACACCCGCTCCCAGGCCACGTCATCAGTCATGAACTGACCGGTGAGGCCAGCCGCGGGTTGAGCCCAGGGGGCCCGCCGCCTCAGACAGCGATCCCAGGAAAGGGTGTGTCAACAGCCTCCACGTGGCCACCGGGGTCTCAGCGGCTTCTGCGCCTCGCCTCACCTAGACCTGGAGGACGACGTTGCTGGAGCAACCTGGTACTTCTTCAGACCTGGCGGCCTTCTGGGGTCGCACCTTTCTACTCAGGGTGTGAGACCTGAGAGGCAGGCGCGAGCTGTAGCAGCCCCGCTCAGCCATTGGTCGGTGCCACAGTGGCCCCGCCCCCTCCCCCCTCTGGTATATAAAAGGAGCCCGAATACGGACTGAGGTAAGGTGGATTTTTGAGACGCTAGTCTGCTGTATTCTCGGTCTGCTAGCTTTCCCACTAAAATCGTTATTCCTTGTTCCAACAACTCCTCTCCCGATTTACTGGCCTGTCGTGCGATGAGCAGAAGGAGCTTGGGCTTGGTAACAATATGACCTTGCAATTCCATTCCTAGGTTTCTAGGAACGGAAAGCATATGTCAACACAAAAACTTGTACACAGTAGCATTATTCATAATACCCAAAAAGTGGAAACAACCCGAAAGTCCATGAGAATGGATGAACAAAATGTGGTGTTATCCAAAATGTAATACATGACACAACACTCATGAATCTTGAAAATATGCTAAGTGGAAGAAGCCAAACACAAAAGACCATATATTATAATGATTCTATATATAAATGTGATGGAAGAAATTTTCACATATTGAGTTATGAGGCCGTCATTCTAGCTTATACAGGATTTAACTTGAATTTTATGCTAGCTAAAACAGCCTGTTTGAAGCCTATCAAACATACACTGTACATCTGCTTTAATCATTAAAGAAAAGGGTACCTGAAGTAAAGAATGTCCTTTTTAAAAATAAAGATTAAATGCCTCCCTTCCTGGAATGTCAGGGCTGCATACTTCTTCGATAAGACTCCCTTCCCAGGTGCCAAGGCCATACTGACTCATTGTATACATGCTGACCTGTTTTTTTTGTTTTTGTGAAATCTTGAAGGAATGCATTCCTGACTTGTTTGGTGTTCCTTGTTCTGATGAGATATAAAACTATGCGGAAAATCATGCTTCTCTGGAGCAGTTCCTCAGAGTTATCTGAGAGACCGTCTCCCGGGCAATCATCCTCAGTTTGGCTCTAATTGGCTTATTGATTATTTCCATCCACATAAGAAATGCCCAGAATTGGCAAATCCATACAGACAGAAAGCCGATTTGTGTGCCAGTGGGTGGAAATACAGGGAATGAGAAATGACTGCTCATGAGTACAGTGTTTATCTTAGGGAAGATTAAAATGTTCTGGAATGAGTGGTGACAGTTTCACAGCATTGTGAATGTAATAAAAGCCACTGAATTCTAATACTTTAAAATGGCGAATTTTACCTCAATTTTTTTAAAAAAGAAAAATCCTATGGGATGGGTAAAATGATATTCCTACATAATAGCTGAGATTCAGAGGTCACCTGATTTGTCTAAAGTCAAACTAAAATTAAAGCTGACTGAACCTCCCAAAACCTTCCTTCTAATCACTGTTACAACCAAAATAAAAAATAAAAACAGTTAAAAATTAACTCTAAGTCCCTAGTGGGTTTTTGCGTGTTTGTAGGGCGTTGGGGCGGGGGGGAGGGACGGGGGGGAGGAGAGGAAGCACGCCCTTGGGCTGGAAGGCGGACGGGGGGGTAGGCAGAGCATCCCGAGTAGGAGGGCTTAGGGAGGAGGAGGAAGAGCGAGGAGGTCCGTACACTCACGGCCGAGGCCTTGGTAACTGCTTCCGCCCCGCCGCTGAGGGGCGCCAGTCGACCCAGCGCGGCACCTCCTTCCAACGCTTTACCCGAGCGCCCCGCCGGCGGCCCCGCGGACAAGTTTGCAGCCTCTTCCCCGCACGGACCCCTCAAAGGCGAGGCCCGATCCCGTACCAGGCGGGCAGGAGGACCCAGCAAACACTGCCTCGGCCCCTTTCTCGCCCAAGGACCCTGGATCCCCTACCTTCCTGGCAACCTGCCAGCTCCTGGCTCGCCCAACCCACCTGTCTCAGGTTTCCCAAATATTTTACCACTTGCTCTTCCTGGCCCACCACACAGTCCCCCACTTCCCGAAGACAGACTAGGAGTGAGAGGAGTGAGACACTTGCCTTGGCATTATTAAAATAATGAGACTACTATTAGTAGTAATGACTTAATAGAAAGAATATTAATAAACTTATTAGTAATGTAGGGGCCAGTAACCAGGATGCCTTGCCTGCCTGTTTAAGGGGAAACCAACTCAATAAGCAAGATAAATACTTTAATATGACATTTAAAACTTTTTTCAAAATAAAAAACTTAAAAGTACCATGAGGTGCTATATGGGAGGCTAAAACAAAAGGAAAAATCAGTAATCCTGATCCTAGCTTTATTTAAAATTTTGGTAGTTTCGTTATCATGGAATTTTTTTAGTGTTTTTTTTTTTTTTCCATATTACATTAAAAAATTTTTTTTAGGGGCTTCCCTGGTGGCGCAGTGGTTGAGAGTCTGCCTGCCGATGCAGGGGACACGGGGTCGTGCCCCGGTCCGGGAGGATCCCACATGCCGCGGAGCGCCTAGGCCCGTGAGCCATGACCGCTGAGCCTGCGCGTCCGGAGCCTGTACTCCGCAACGCGAGAGGCCACAGCAGTGAGAGGCCCGCGTACCGCAAAAAAAAAAACAAACAATTTTTTAAATCTTCAGTACTGAGTATCTTGAGTTCTGAGTATGTCCCTAAATTTTGTGCTGGAAGTGAGTGCTTCATTCACTGTGCTTGGCTTACCCTAGTGACAGCCCTGCCCTACTGTCAGCTTCAGTGTGGTAGTGGCAGTACGGAAGGGTAGGGAAGTGCAAGTGGCCACCTTCTCCCCAGAGTCTGTGGAGGCTTAGCAAGGAACTTCCAGAGGTGCAGGCACAGGGGCCTGTAAACCCTCTAGGCGTGTCCCAGCACAGGGTCTCAGTGGAGGGCAGGGAAGGAAGAGTTACACCAGCATCCTGGTTACTGGCCCCTACATTACTAATAAGTTTATTAATATTCTTTCTCTTAAGTCATTACTGCTAGTAGTAGTTTCATTATTTTAATAATATAAACTAAAAAGCATCAATAATACTTATATAATATAATACTTATTAAACACCTACCAGCTAAACACTTCACAAAATGATTTCATTTATGTCTCAACACAATTCTGGGAGGTTGGTTCTAATATTACTAATACTATCTGATTTTACAGTGCAGGAAACAGGATCAGAGTGGTTAAATCTCTTGTTTAAGGTCATCCAGCATGTACAGTGGCAGAACTAGGATTCAAATCCAAACTGGCTGACCACAGAGCCTTTACTTGGGAATCACAGTACAAAGTTCCTAATCCTCTACCTGGAAATGACTTGGGGATTTCATCTCCAAAGCATTAGAACTCCAATAAAAACCTTAGAAACAAATTGAGATGTTAGGATATCTGCTCGTACAATGTATCACATCAATGAGTTAAAAAAAACAATATGATAATTTCCATGGAAGCTCCTTGTAAACTAAGCCTAGAAAGGTATTTATTTACATGTTATACAAAGGTATGCTAACTCCATAGCCCAGCCAAGTGGTGTGGCACCAGCAAACCCCTTCCCTCTGGACAATTTGGGCCAGTGTTTGTTGTACACTGGTTAATCTGCTGTCAGTCCACACTGCAAAACAGCTTCTAACCTATATTCTAGATCATTGCTCTTCAGTTGGCCACCAGACCTGTGCTGCTCCCCTGGAATTCCTACCAGCCTCCCCAGAACCACTGCTGCTACCACCAGGCTGGGAAGGAGGAAGAAGGCTGCCCTCCCCTTTTATGATGACTTCTTTCCAGACCCTTGAGCTAAAACCAGACCACCATGTTTGGCAGCTAAAACTTTGCTGAGGACCTGGGTGATATCACCCAAAGCCGTATGAGGAAGATGATTTGAGGTGACTCACAGATCTACTGTCTTTTGAATAATCATGCACTTATTTTGATGCAAATTCAAAATGATTGAAATAGCTTATTAAACTACAATAGAAGGCTAATTTTGCTCCTAGTGAAGCTAAAAAGAGTAGTAAAAATTTTAACACAATATATTTAAAGTAAATAATAAAAGATCTCAAGGAGGTATTAGAGCTTCAACAGAACCTGGCAGTTGGACTCCTAGCATATGTGATCACCTAAGAATTCCTTTCTACCTGCCCAGGTTGTACAACCCCTGACCCTAACTAGATATTGCATATTGCATAACTTTCATTTTGGAAAGGCTCTGGATACTTGGGACCAGTTAGTTCCCTGGGTCTCCAGTCCCAACAGAATTAATTCAATCAAGACCAATTTTCCCAGCGCTACTTTAGTGAGGGCCTGGGTGATGGTACGCAAAGCTTTATAAAGAACGTGATTTGAGGTGATTTACAGACTAGTCCTGTTCCTACAGGATTTTCTAGAAACAAATACAAAAGCTTTCTACTTGACCAGGGCTCAATTTTTAAGTACACAATGGAAACAAACAAACAAAAAGCCATCTGGCTTTCCTATTTCATGTCTCTTTTAGTTGGTGAGCATTTGGTTTTGCTTTTTTTTCCCTCAAGAATAATGAGACACACTGCTATTTTCTTTATACCTCTGTCATTTTTTAAACCCAATAATTGTTACATCATAATAATGATAACAACACGAATAATGAGCCGTAAACACTTCCATAATCCCAGCAGCCCTGGGCCTGCATTTCTAAGGATGGTGAACTGAAGAAACAAATTTGTGTAATTGAAATAAGCTTTTCCAACCACCACCACATCTTCTCTGTGTTTTGATGATGTAAGAGGTTTTCATTTATTATGTGGCTACTCTGTGCCAAGCACTGTGCTAAGTACATTACATGTGATTTATTATTTCATTGGTACATATTTTGACACTACACTGCCTTTCATTATGATGTGACC